AAAGTACATCCTCCTGGTTTGAGGTGACATGTTGTGGTCAGCTGCCCCAGAGTGAAGAAGAGAGGGGATAGACCCTCTCAATTAGTGGAATACTCACATAGATAATCTTGACTTTTTCAAAATCATACTGAAGAGAGACTGAGTCATCTGGCCTTCTGTCCTTTTGCCAAATAGATATCTATTCTCCTTTAGGAGGAGAATTTGGTGATGCAGGGCCTAGTATTCCCCCCCCACCCCGTAATTACTTTCTTTCCAGAACATAAGAAAGTCTGGGGGGGTTTGGTTTTTTTAACTTTCTTTTATTTTTTTCTTAGTAGTAATAGTAAACAGCACACAGTCAACTTCCTGTCTTCAGGAAAAGCCCAGCACTGCATGTGGGGCTCTGCCACAAGCTCCCAGAGGCCTTGATCACCAACACTGCAGCTGGTGGGTGCGAGGTTTTAATTTTTGTTTGGTTTTTTTAGTGCCGGGAGGCTGGGGCCGGATGGGGCTGGGCAGGACAGCCATGGGGGCTTCTCCCATGGCTCCTCCAGCTGTTCCTTCCTCTCCCCAGGTGGGGAGGAGCCACAGGAGAAGCACCTGTGGCTTCCCTACCCTGCCTGGCCCCAGCTTGCGGGGTGTCTGAGTGCACTGTTGCACCCTGTCTTGACTTGTGCCTGGATGCAGGAGAACTTGTGGGGGAAAATGGTGGGAAAGCATTGGAGGATTATCAGTAATCAAGTCATTTTGCCTGTCTCCTTATTGCAAGGTGGATGACTTTCAATCAGATCAATAAGGGAACCTCTGCTCTATTTCACCCACAGGTTGGGTAAGGTAGCCTAGGCTTACTATGCCTTCAAATGTGGGTCAAAGGTTGAATTGTAGGGAAGCTGTATTTAAAACCCAGGTAACTTTTCAGTGAAGAAACACTGTGAACATAGCTGTATTTCCCTATTCCATTCCATTTCCAGACCTAAATGTTTAAACAAGTTTCATAGATTATTTTTTTCTGCTTAAAAAACCCCTAGGTTCTTTTTTTTAAGGTTTGCCCAGAAAGTGTACTACTTCCACACTGTTATACGAATGTCACCCTTAAAGTGCTTTCCATAACTAAACAAGACTACTATGAATTTAGTGAATACTGTAACTATGAAAATGACATCACCTAGTTGAAATGTACTTGGAACATTTCCAGGGGCAGCCATGTTTCTGCAGGTAAATTTTCACTCACTCCTAAATATTTGTGTCCTCATGCCCACTTTTAAGACTTTAATTGTAAAATGGTTAATAACTAGAATAAGGCTTGCTAGACAAATTGTCATGTGGTCACTGTCATGTGGTTTGTTTATGCATGCTATAAATTTATCATCCTTGATAGTTTGACACTTTCTAATACTGAAGCCTTAAAAAACAACTTGAAAAATAATTCTTAATTTGATTTGAATTACCATGTGTAAAGCAATTCTATGTCTGCTTTACAAAACACAGTATTTGTTCATGTCTAACATAAATAATAGATAGTTACATAGGGAAATGAATAAATAGAATACATTTTCCTTTTCAGCTATCAAATTTTAGGCTGCCATGACAAGTAAATTGGCAAGAAGATGTATTGTCAGTGAAAAGTTATCCTTTGCATTTGGCAAAGGTACAGATAAGCTGAAAACATATTCATAATGAGTCTCTTTCTATTTTAAGGCAAAGTCTGTCTGGGTGAATAAAAATATAAAGATAATGGCGAGTCTACACGTTGGCATGAAGTCATTTCAATGATATCTGTAACCTACTAGTCATTTTGTGTTGAGTTCCCTCTCGTGGTAAACATGTTTATCAAAAACCTCTCAAAATAATGTTATTTGATGAGTAACACAAGCTCCCAAACTACTGCACAACAATGTAGAACAGATACATATTTTTACTTTCATAAATAATGTCAGCTATATTCAACATTTCTTTGTTCACAACTTCATTCATTATAGTAACGTCGGGCTGTCAATTTAATATCATGGAGACAAAGTTTCACTTTTTATGCATTATCATTCAAACGTCAGAGTTCACTCACCTTGCTAATCAGTTTTCTGACGTCATAGATTTCATAGACATTAGGGCTGGAAGGGACCTTGGAAGATTGTCAAGTCCAGCCCCCTGCCCAAAGGGCAGGAAGTCAGCAGGGATCATAGGATCCCATCAAGATAGACATCAAGTGTCTCTTGAAGGCATTCAAGGTAGGTGCTTGAACTATTCCAAACCTTGAGGTCTCAGACAGCAAAGTTCTTCCTTATTTCCAGTATGAAATGGTCATGGAGGAGTTTGTGACCGTTCAAACTTGTCGTCTCTTGGGGCACTCTGGTGAACAGACGTTCCTCCAGATCCTGGTGAGCACCCCTGATAAACTTATAGGTGGCCACCAGATCACCCCTGAGCCTGTGCTTTTCCAGGCTGAAGAGTCCTGTGGCTCTCAGCCTCTCATTGTAAGCTCTGTTTTCCTGACCTCTGATCATGCATGTGGCTCTCTTCTGGACACTCTCAAGCTTCTCCACATCCTTTTTGAAATGTGGAGCCCAAAACTGGATGCAGTATTCCAGCTCCAGCCTCACCAAGGCCGAGTACAATGGGAGAATGACATCCTGGGATTTGCTTGAGAAGCATCTATGGATGCAAGCCAGCATTTTGCTTGCTTTACTAGCTGCAGCATCACATTGAAGGCTTATGCTCATTTTGTGGTCAATTATGACCCCCAAATCCCTTTTGTCAGAAGTGCTAGCTAGTGTAACACTGCCAAGCCGATAAGCATGCTGCGGGTTTTTCTTCCCAAGGTGGAGAACCTTGCATTTTTTGGTGTTAAACACCATCAGGTTCTCATCCACCCATTTCCTGAGCCTGTCCCTCCTGTCCTCTGGTGTGGACTCTTTACCCTAAAGTTTGGTGTCATTGGCATCAGAAGAGGACTGGCCAAATTCACCAATGTTCACATCATTAATGAAGATGTTGAACAATATAGGCTCAAGGACAGAGCCTTGAGGGACCCCACTGGTTACAGGGCACCATGACGATTGAATTCCATCAACCACCACTCTCTGGGTCTGACCACATAGCCAATTCCCTAGCCAGTGGATTGTGAAGAAGTTGAGGCAACCATTGGCCAGTTTTGCTAAGAGGTGATCATGGGATACCAGACTGAAGGCTTTTGTAAAGTCAAGATATATGACATCAATCTCTTCCGCTTTTGTCCAGGTGATAGGTCACCTGGTCATAAAAGGAAATAAGATTGGTCAAGCAAGACCTACTTGCAACAAACCCATGCTGGCTATCCCTCAGGATTTTGCCATTGGCCAGTCTGTTGAGAATGGTCTCTTTGATCATCTTTTCTAGGACCTTCCCTGGGATAGAGGTTAGGTTGATGGACCTGTAGTTTGCTGGATCCACTTTCCTCCCCTTCTTGAAGATAGGCACCACATTGGCCTTCTTCCAATCTTCAGGCACTTCACTGGAGCAACAGGAGTTCTTGAAGATCCATGCCAGGGGCTGAACTATGATGCTTGACAGCTCCTTGAGTACCCTGGGGTATAAGCTGTCAGGGCTGGCTGACTTGAAGGTATCCAGCCTCTTGAGGTGTTCCTTCACAAGGTCAGCATTGATAGAGGGTAAGGAATCTCCCTCACCCAGGCCTTCCTGTCCCATAATGGGCAGGGGTCCCTTGGGACTGGTAAAAGACCGATGCAAAGTACCCATTTAGCAAGTAGGCTTTTTCATGGGCATCGGTTGTCAGTTGTCCCATCTGGTTTAGCAGGGGTCCAATGTTGCCCTTACTTTTCCTCCAGCTGCCCACATATCTAAAAAAAGGACTTTTTATTGTCCTTGATACTTGTAGCTAGTTGGAGTTCAGTTGCAGCCTTGTCAACTATTACAAAAAACAAAACAAAACAAAAAAAATCATTGCTGTGACCTCAAAACTCTCAATTTTCAGTCATACACCCTAGAGTGAGGAGAATACATTTCCATGTTCACCTTTAGGCTGTTAATCACTGTCTTTATTTGCATAACCATAACCAAAAGTCTTGTTGGAGCCAGACCTTTTCCATTTCCTTTTCCGAGGACAAAAATTAGAAAGCATTGCTTTGTCATGTGTAAAAATTTCAGTTGTGAAATTCAACTAAAATCAAAATCTATACATTTGCCTATCATGAATAAAAATGTCTTTAAAAAGAGAAGTTTTGTATTTTGCTGTGCATGGTAGCTTACTCCCTATTGATCAGCTACTCTTGCAACCTTTTCCAGAGATCACATATTTGTTTATCTTTGAAAGATTTTCTGAGATTCTATCCTAAGGTAAAGATAAAAGAGTGATAGCAAGCACACACAGTCCTGGGCCTCAGCATTCAGTAGCTAAGGCACTGCTCTGCCTTTTAAATTTTCTTTACCTACAAATCTAACACACTAGTAAATCCCAATCAAATTTTTCAATTTAAAAGCCAGATAAACAAAGAAATTGCTGACAACAGGAGTAAGAAGCCACATCAAAACATTATCCAATAGACGAGGCAGTCTAATCATTAGTATCACCAATTAGATTTTGGGGGTCCTTGTGGACACCCCTATTTTATGTCATGATGATACCACAGCTTCCCCATCTGATAAAATGGTTATTTTCCATTGACCGACATTTGACATTTTAATTTACTGCTACAGTGTAAAGGAAAAGGGAATCAGTAAATAAAGTCTACTGGACTCCATTAACTAATTTGACACTTGAAGAAGTCAGCCAAGTGTAACCAACTACAGCAGAAACAATTTAGTTGGTCTCTGCAAGTAAAGTAAGCCTTCCATGAGGGGAAGAAAAAGTGGTAGAGAAGAATATATGATGAAATGGACACTTTGGAATTGAGATTAATGAAATAAGAAACACTTATAGCACAATTATGTTAAGAGCACATTAAAGCAAACAGTCAGCTAAATTCACTTATAACCTTCATTACCATAATGTGGAGAGATGATCTATTTACCTGACAATTTCTTATTACAGCTGGTCTGAAACACAGCACACTTCCTTTTCACCAGCTTGTATCAAACAGCACAAAATATTAGTCTGTAAATACAGGGAGAAGTAGCCAGACATTGCCAACACAATCTAGAGTACTATTTCATATTCAAGGGAGACACCTCACATGACTGTGGCTAGATAATAGATCTGCATGAAGTGTATGCAACAAAGGCTCAACCCCCAGTGCACCTGGCCTCCCCCAGGTTTCTTGCCTACAAGCTCAAGAATAAGCTTGGTTTCCTCAGTGTTAGAATATCCGGAACAAACTCATGTCATTGAGGTTAATTTAGAAAGAAATCAGCAGTGCAGTACTTTGAAAGGTATTATTCTGCTCTTTAGTTTAGTATTGGTTTACAAATAAGAGATCCGCTTAGAATTCTCATAAGCTTCAGAAACTGGCCGATATCCATGAAACAAACAAAAAACAGCCTCCATATATTACAGTGTCCGATATATAATGGACATTTATGCAGCACAGAATTTTTAAGCCACACCAAAAGTGCTTTATGAATGTGGGTAATATTGCAACTTCTAGCCATTTAACAGGTAGGGAAATAAACTAAAAATGAAGTTCAATGCCCAGTATCACACATCAAATTATATACCACTCCTTGCTATACATTTAGTCCATCACATGCACTTCTACTGTGTCTTCTGCCTAGCTTCAATGCTAGCTACCTTTCTTTGCTATCCATGTGTATAGCACTAGGCATAATGGAGCTTTGATCTGACTTGGCTTTGGGCATCTCTAAACATATCTGTAAGATAACTATAGTTAGCCAACAGCACTGTTGCTTTTATTCCCAGGTCCTATGAAATGTAGTTCACATGTATTTTTGAGCTGTGCACAATACTTGATATTTCATCACAAACTAAAAAAAGGCAACAATATAAACAATCTGTGGAACCTACACCAGACTATTAGCCTTTACAGGAAAGGCTGTTTTTGAATATGCCCTGGCCTCCTGTTCTCTTATATGCCCCAAACCCAGCATGCAGCCACTCACAAGCTCTCTGCAGACACAGAGAACTTGAGAGCAATTATGCCAGCCCCAAAGAAATGAAACACTATCAGTAGCTTATCATTAATCACTGTCACTAACACAATTACTAAATCAGCCTCAAAATTCTAGATCTGAGACTGGCAGAACAATACTATTTGAAGAACTCAGTATGATGACAGCCATATATGCATATGTATAGATTAACATTTTCTCTTAAAAGCATCAGAACATGTTTCCCTGTAATTCCTTGCATTGTAATTAGGACTACATTAAACAATTAATATATTTAATCCTTGGAAAAATGAGTGTTATGTCATTTGAAGTATATCAAAAACAGAGTGTAGGAAGGGGAAAGATGCTTTTTAAAATTTAAGAACTACTTATCAGACATCAAGAAAAGAACCTTAGATTCTTATGATGTAAAGTTTAAGACACTGGTCCCGATTCCTAAAGGTCGCAACTGCAAATAAAAACTTCCAGACTTCCAGCAACCATAGCATCCTGATGATAAAAGAAATAAAGCAATTTATTTAGTGATACATCTCACAACAAGCCTTTGTCCACCTGTTATCCACCTAATTTCAAACATGGATTTGTGGGACACCATTTTCATTTGCTCTAAGGCCATGTCTACATGTGGTGTGGATGTTTGGTTCCCTGGGGACAACTAGCAGTGGTGCACCTTGCACCGCTGCTACTTGTCCCTGGGGAACACCCATGCCATGCACACTTTGGCACTCAGTAAGTTACCCCAGGGGCAGTAGGGGAGGCTGGAGCCAGCACTGGGCTAACCCCAAAAACCTTACCTGGGGGTCCTGGACCCAGGGGGTCGTAAAAAACCCTCCACACAGTTCCATTGCAGCACAGAGAACAACTGAACATGCAGTATGTGGTGCTGCAGGCGTGTTTGCGGTGCCACATGGCTGGGGAGGGGGGCCCTCCTCCCTCTCTCTCCTTGGCTGCTTACTCCCTGGGACCCTGCCAAACTTGGTTGAGGGGTGGAGTCCCCCAAGCTCACAGGGAGGCTGGGTGTTGTAGCTGGGGTGCCAGGGGGGCCCCCAAGGAGGGAGGGGCTCTAGTGGCAGGGGCACCTCTTTCTCTAGTGGGACCTGTGGATGTCTTCCTGCCTGGCCCATAGAGCACTAGTGACACAAATGCCCTGGGGTGTGGCACTAGAAGCATCACAAGTACCAGCATATAAAAATCCCCTCACTCAGGCCCCCTGAAAGGGAATCATGAGGCATCCCTCGGCCTCCAGCTGCATTCCCACCACCAGCCAGATCATGATCTGGTGGCAGAAAGAGCGTACATGGCAGAGGCCGGGGTCTTAGCACCGCAGCGGGAGGGCTGCCATCAAGGAGATAACCCTACCCAGGGTTTGGAGCAGGGGGAGAAGGGTCCAGTTGGGAATACAGGGTGGGATGGAGCCAAGGACCACCCAGGTCCCCAGCTTTTCTAGGGGCTCAAGGGGGGCATATTTGCCTTCCACCATGAGCCCCATGTCCACTGCAGCAGCCTCTGAGGCAAGGCAAAAAAATCCCCTTGCCATAAAAGCGGGAGGCCACCATGATCTTGGGGGCCCCCCACCACCTGACCCAGGGCCTGCACCCAGGTCTAAAAGTGCAGGTTCTCCTGCTCAGGTAGTTGGCACTTTACCCCATGCCTGCAGGTAAGTGCCAGACTGGGGGCCTCACCTCCTGAGCTGGAAGGGCTGGCAGTAGAGGGTCCAGGGCCTGTAGCTGCAGGTTGCCCCACAACCACCTGAGCATAGCTGTGACTCCCTCAGTGGTGGACTGTCTTGGTGGGGCCAAAGCTAGGGTCAGGGACAGGCTGAGTGGGTGTTCTGCCTGATGTAGTGCATCTGGTTCCCTCAGGCACCAGTGGTCTTGGTCTTGGGGGTGGGGCCCTTGCCTTTCCCACCCCCAGTTGTGGAGGAGGCCAAAGAGGAGCCCTTCCCATTGCCCTTGCCTTACATCCATGATGATTGGGTGGGGGGGAGTTGGGAGCCCCTCTGGGGGGAGGCCTGGTGGCAGGAGATCTCCTGACCCCACTGGCTCCCTGTTAGAGTCCTGTTTGATCCTAAAGAGGGGTTAGAGGCTTGCCTACCCCCAGAGGGGGTCAATTGGACTCTGCCCCCAGGGTGGGAGCTGTAGGGGCATATACCCTCTCAGGGGCCTGGCTGGAATCTGCCCCTACCGCATGGGCTACAGGAAGTTCTGTGGGGGTCTGCCCCCCAGAAGGCTCCTGTCCTGCCATTGCTTAATATAAGGGAGAGTGATACCAAACACAAAAGCGCCAGTGAATCCAATAGGGGCAGGCTGGGACTGTGGGATGAGGGGAGACAGTAAGGGGGCTGAAGCTCACAGAGCTATAACCCCACAGGAAACTGGGTAGGCTATGCCCAGGGAAGGTGGGGGAGAGGGACACAAACAAGGGCTGGGGAGACTTGATCTGGCTTACTCAGCCATACAACAAACACCAGAGCAGAGGGAATGGACCGCAGGACTTACCACACAAGGGTAAAACATACAGGGGAGGCTGCTGAGGCAGAAGTAAAGGATGGCTGGAGTAGTGGAGGAACTCCATTCATTGAAGATCATTCCAGGATCCCCTCAGACCTCCAGCCAAGCACTTAGCAGCAGGGCATCAGGCAGGAAATACGGCACAGGATCAGATGAAGTATGGCAGCTGTGAGGGAGTGCAGGAGCAAACAGTCAATTAAGAAGTAATCCAGTTCAGGTGCAGTGCGGGGAAGGGCCTGCAAGGCAGTGCCTCAGGGAATTCCCCTCCCCACTCCACTCTCCTGAGGGGAAGCAGTGGCAGCACAGGAGGCAGCAGCAGCAGTTGCAGCTATCCAGGGCAGCCACCTAAAGTTTGTTTCAGGTGAAGGCGAAGGCAGAGGGCTGGCCTGTTGTGGCAGCTGAGGCAAGTGAGGCTCCCTTAGGCACTGGCAGTGGGGGTGGGCGAAGGGCCCACAGACAGTGCAGGCCCCCTTCCTCAGCTGTCCCCCAGCCATGGTCTGGTGGCAGGCTGGGCAGCTGGCCACAATGGGACTGTAGTAGCTGGGGTGTGGTGCTGGGGTGTGGTACAGTGCAGTGGGGATGTGGTAGGGCTCTATCAGACCTAGAGTCTGCACTGCATATTTTCATTTTTTCATTCCTAGCATGCCTTCTTCAGCATCTCAAACTGCACCAGGCATTTGCTTGCTCAGCTGGATGTGGTCTATATGATTGTCCATTGCCAAGTCTTGTGCCCATGCTCAGCTCTAGGGACATGGAGCTTTGGAAGCTGATACAGGTATATGTACTTCTTGGATGATGTAAAATTTTTAGTATCTGAAGCTTTGTTTTCAGTGGTTCTTGGAGAAAGATGTTCAGACACCAGGACAAGAAATATATGGGGACTACTATGACACCAAATAAATAAAGAGTAACTTGGCAATACTACAAATACTTATCTTAAGTAATTCATAAAAGTAGGGTTGGAAGGGACCTTGTAGATCATCAAGTTCGACCCCCTGCCCTGGGCAGGAGAGAAAAACTGGGGTCGTTTGAGCCTGGTTTTTCTCTCCTGCTCAGGGCAGGGGGTCGGACTTGATGATCTACAAAGTTCCTTCCAACCCTACTCTATGAATGATTTAAAATCAGTTCATATATGCCAGGTAGTCAGGACATGAAAGTAATTGCTACTTAGTTTTAAAAGAAACCTGGAAGACTCTGGCATTTAATATAGGTCATTATGAACTTAGTTTTATAATATTTAAGTGGATAAGTAGCAGATGTCCATTAAAGACAATACTGAGATTGCCAGAGCATATTCCAAAGGACTAAAGAAGTCTTTCCTGCTCTTGGATTCTAGAGTTCTATTGTTATTTCATGCTTTACAGTTACTAGCCTTGGCGACGCATAGGGGGTGAATGCGGGTGCACGTGCATCCCTTGAGATTGGTGTTACACCCCCTGACAGATGCACCACTGACACTGCCGGCAATGCCTGTGGGCAATCGCCACTCACCACGCCCCCTCCTCTTTCTGCTGACACCACCGCTGGTGTCTGCAGGTGGTTGCTGACCACTGGTCAGCACTCACCACCCCCTGCCCCGCTGCCACCACTGCCATTGCCACTTGTGGGAGTTCCATGCTCCCCACCACCACGCGCCTGCCACCACCTGTGGGTGGTCACCATGTCCCCCCAGCCTCCAGGGGCACATGTCGTTCATGGTTACTAGTGTAACTCAGGTAGTACATGGTTGGTACCCGTTCTGCAATGGAAGGGATGTTTGGAGGTATGTGTGTGTGTGCCATGAAAGCATAGCTGGTTAGCCTAGGCCAATTCACCGTGCTCCCCTGCAGAGCAGAGCAGATAATGTGGTTACCCAGTAAGATTTAACTATTTACAGAACTTTATTTACAGGACCAATAAACTTAGTAAACATATGTTACTAAAGCAGTAAATCTTATTACTCATATACACGGGCAGAAACGAAGTGGTTATGACAGACAAAGGTGCTTTATTGCCATAAACCTTGACTCCCAGTGATCTTATTAGGGTATAGCCCCTACATTCCCAGGCCCTGCAGGCACCAGATTAAGTAGTGGTTTACTAAATAGGACACAACGATAAATAAACAATGGTTAGCGCATGCATAAACAAGGTTACAACACAAACCCCCACATATGCATAGCAACCGCTTGAATCCAAAGCAAAAATCACCAGGCTCTCCACAACATTTTAGCAGTGGACCAGTTAACAGAGAAAACAAAGCAATACATAAACATCTGATGATACAATATCAAATTAAATAAATTCACAGTGAAAATAAAACCTATGGCTTAGCCTGCATATATATGGACTCAGGGCAACCTTAAATGTTTACATGAACCTTAACAGTTACATCCATCACCAACAATGCACAATAATCATGATGCAAAGAGAAGTAATACAATGGGGAAACAGGTAACCCCTAAAGGACAATGTTAACCACTGCTAGTCCCAGTGACGAGGTAGACATTTGAGGCACGAAACCTCCCCTAGATACTGAGGCCCCTCCTCCCCTGTGGAGACCTTGGCCTGCCCCCTGTGGGGACCCCCCTACCTGGGCACTCATGGCTCCTTAGCCCTCCAGTGGGCCTTGGCTCATCTCTGTCTTCTTTGAGGGTGGGGCTGGTCAAAGCTCCTCCCTTGTTAGGGCTGTGGCTTCATTCAGTTGCTGTTCACAGTGGAAAGACCCGAGCTGCCTCGTGCAGCTACCAGGGCCTGCCCACTCTCCCGGATCCTCCGTGCACCCTCCAGTGCCCCGGGGCCTCTGCCACTGGTGGAAACATGGGCCTGTGCTGTCTTGTGCAGCAGCTGGGTTTTCTTCGGCTCTTTCCAAGCCCTGTGCACCAATCCATGCACCATGGGACTTCTGCCGCTTGCAGGGTCAGGGACCCACACTGCCTCGTGCAGCTGTGAAGCCCCTTCAGCTCTTCCTTGGCTCCATGCACCAATCCATGGGACCTCTGCTGCTCACAGGATCGGGGACCTGAGCTGCCTTGTGCAGTCCCAAGGTCCCTTCAGCTCTCCATCCCTGTGCACCAACCTGTGCCTCATGCAGGGTTGGGGACCCACATTGCCTCGTGTAGCTGCCGAGGTCCTGTCTGCTCCCTGACTCTCTGTACACTGATCTGTGCATTGGGAGATCCTGCTGCTCACAGGGTCAGGGACCCAAGCTTCCTCATGCTGTCCTGGAGTCCCTTCAACTCTTCCAGCCTCATGCACCACTCTATGCACCTAGGGGCCCCTGCCTCTGTCAGGGATGGGAACCCATGCTGCCTCATGGAGCCGTGGGGGTCCCTTCATTCTTCATCCCTGTGCACTGAGGGACTCCTGCCTTGTACCAAGGGGCTGCTGCCTTGTGCAGGGTTTGTGGACCCATGCTGCCTCGTGCAGCTGCCAAGGTCTCATCCACTCTCTGGACCCTCTCCAGCCCTGTGCACTGACCCATGTAGTGAGGGCTCCTGCCTCATGCAGGGTTGGGGACCCGCACTGCCTCATGCAGCTGCTGAGGTCCTATCTGCTTCCCAAACCTATGTGCACCAATCTGTGCACTGACGCAGCCACTCGCTCCACAGCAAGACTGGGATGCAGCCACTTCCTGCTCCTGCTCAGCAGAAGCATCTTCTGGGTACTTCTGGGGCAACTGCACTGCCTGTGCTGGTCAGTTCCACCAGCTATTCTGCAGCCCTCTTCGTTGTCCCTCATTGAAGGTGCCCATGTGCTCAGCACATGGGCTTTTATTCTTTCTGGAGGCTTTGCCCCCAGATTGGGAATGGACTAATGGGAAGTCTGAAGGGTTAGTTCCCTCTTAGGTCCTTGCCAGGTCAGAGCAGGGCAAGCTTCTCTTTCTTCCTCTTTTGATTGGCAGGGAAGAGTATTCTCCCATCAATCAGCCTGATCCATCTGGCTCAAACTGGCAAGCTGGGCTGCCACCAGCAAGCCTGCCACACTAGTATGATGTATAATTCAATGCTTGAACAAAAACTTGATCTAGGGTCTTTTCCTCTGAGTGCCCTAATAAGACCTTTTCAGATTTTTAACATTTCCTCAGTTTCTCAAATCTAAACCAAAGTGAGGGGAAAAAGGCAGTGTTTAAGCACAGTTAATGACAAGTACAGTTTTAAAGATCTAGGAAAAAGTTTGGACTTCCTATAAGTAGACATAACTGTTAATGGGTTTCTATCTGAGTTGAATTTCATCCATGAACTACATAGTGGTATTTGTTACACTAAGTTCTAATTCTTCTAGTTAGACTATAATTTTAATATATCTCAAGAGATGACATTATTGGGTCTTTCAGACTGGATAATTGGAAATCCATTAGAAAACCTTTCACAGTGTGCTCCCCACAATGGTATTTATTTTAGAGAGATGGACATTTACTGTATGAAATGTTTTGCAAAATTTTAAATTAATTGGACTCCTAAATCTATACTATCGATAAGCTGTCTTTGTAACTGTAATTAACTTCTAGTGAGCATGCATGAAGTAAACACTTTTGAATTCAAAGTTATTGGTTTTACTTGTTGGAGGGAAAACTGCAGTGATATTTATGATGGCCCTATATGGCTGTTTAAAAAAATTAAACTATTTTATATTCCACTGGAGGTTTCTTTTAACAAGTTGAAAAAACATTCATTTAAAAAAAGCCTGATATTTCATTCACCCTTAGTTTTTATGAAGCTGTATATGAGTGATTTGAATTTGTCTGGAATGTATCACTATGGAGGTGGAAAGGGAATGGGTGGTGGAAGGAAGAAAAATTAATATGATATTAGTAGGCTGATGAACTAACTGGCCAGCCAGCCAAGAGTTTGTATGTTTACTGAAGGGAAGGAGGAAATAGAGGAAGCCAAGTAATCTGGGGGAGAAGAGATTCCTTTTAAACACAGCATTCTTCAAACTGCGAATGTCTACACAAGATGTTTACTCTCGAGGTAACTAATTAGCTACACAGTAAATGTCTTGCCATCTACACATGCAGAGCAATTCGATTGGAGT